TATGCATGTATAAAAACTTGCTTTTATTGTTTGAAGTTTAACAAAAATAACTATGCTTGAATATGTAAACAATAATTATATAGATATATTTAATACTTAAGATAAGCCAACGAGAGAGTGACATTATATTTGTCATTCTCACATTGAGGCGCTTGTCTTTTAGTATAATATATAGATAGATAGATTTTTAAAAGGTTATGAAATGACTCAATGAGTTTGGTCAAAAGTTTCAATTGTTACGTACATTCAAGGTAGTCTTATTGTGGCAAATTGAATGTACAATCTATACTTTTACAAAAAAATGCAACTAATATAATAGATTAATACCACCAAGTAATTCATTGTGTAGCACTGTTATAGCTTATGCGACTTGCTTAGGTCAAAGGTAAATTGATTAGTGTGTAATCTGAATATTAATATTATTTACTTCTCAATTCAACAAAAGTTTCCTATGGCACGAACTATTTACAATTTTATCTTCTTTTTCCTACTTTCATCATCAAAGTTCAAAACTAGGTTAGGGTCCTTTCTCATTATTCAATTTAAAATTTCTTCCACTTTCTCTCGTCACACCTACATTTCTTGTAAGATACTGTGGATAAGCCAAAACTCGGTGCAAAGACGGTGCACTGATACGACAATTAAATTGGAACAAATTTATAGTTGTTAAAATTTGAATCTGTGAAGATAGTGGTAACTGAGACTCGGTTTGAGAGGTTGATAGGGGATCGTAGGAGTAACAAGTGTTGGAATCCAAAGTTATGATGATACACATAGTTGTTAATCATATAGTGAGAATACTAGATACGTAAAAAAGATACTCTTAGGCACGTCGGTCTCTAACTGAAATATCATATACATAAGTTTAGTTTCTCTAACTAAATAAACCATGGCATATACACAAGTTTAGCATAAAATTATATTTAATTTCTTTAATACTCCATATAATAATAAAAATATAAATACAAATATATTGTTTACACCATGATTGGAAATTGGAATGCATAATAGAGTTTTGTGTAAAAAAAAGGACACTATAAATATAATAAACCCACACACAAAAGAAATAGTGAGAAAGTGTAAAACATAAACGAATGATATTCATGGACCAATTTAAAGAAACACGTAAGGCTTATGACATAGACGTCTTTTTCCCTAAAACCGTACTTTATTCTATAGTCTATGTGACCTTGCTTCGGTACTCCCTACGCCTCATTCGGATTCTTTTGGCTCCACTTTTCAGGATTTATAATCCCACCAATACAACCTATTTTGATCTCCCAATTAATATCTAATTTTATCTTAAAATGCTTATCAACCGTTAGATTTGCCTAGGAATTTGTACCACTTTGTTTTGATCAATTATGATAGACTAATGAGTTTATTTTGCTTACTTATAATTAAGCACCAGAAAAACCACCGAGGGATTAGGGTTTGGATTATTTTGCTCTAACTTTTACCCGGGGAATATATTATAATGCTAGTAATGTTTTGTTAAAGGAGAATAGTTGCATTGAAAGTATGTAATTACGAGTGTTTAGCTTGTTTTCTTCCCCTTATTTTTGATTGATTGAAAATAAATTTATTGGGTTTATATTTTTATTGAATAGACATTATTTGTACTGAATCGGAATTAATTTTACTTATTCTATTTTATATTTGTTCTTTGAATCTACTAATTAAAACTTATTTTTACTGAACGAAATTATTTTTGTTGAAAAAAATTAATTTTACCAAATATTACTACATATTATTTTAAGTTGAAGAAAACAAGACCCGAGTGCATGTATTATAGGCTTATGAGGGTAAATGTGTAAAATTAGTATTGTTTATTTTAGTAAAGTTTAGAAATGTATTATATAATGGGGCCCGGTACATTTGGACCCTCCTCCTTCGAGGATATTGAAACTACTACGTAGATATTGATGGATCCGTTGTAAATAATGAACTCCACAATAATGAAGCTATTGCTCTTTGTAATAGATTGTTGCTAGCGAATTTTTTTTATCATTGCCCATATTACTATAGAAGGTGATAATTGTTATAAATATTTTTCAAGATCATAATACTGGTTTGTTATGATTTACTAAACTGAGCTGATTGAAGCTAAACTAAAATGAATATTTTATAGAAGAAGGAAATTAGGAACTGAGTTGAACTGAAATAAAGTTACGTTGAAGAGAACAAGCTCTACGTGCCCATGAGAGTTCGAGTTACAAATGGTGGATGTCAAGATTCTCCTACAACAATTTTAGACCTCCAGGTCCAAATACGTCTACCAAGAAGCCATTAGGCTAGGTTACATATTATGTATGTAGCCTCAATTGGTCGTTATAGAACGAATAGCCTCCAACATATAGATCTTTTTATAGTTGTAAACATTAACTTTTCCTATTACCTTTAGTTTGGTGCATTTAGATAAGATGAGCCTTATTTATTTATTTATTATTATTATGTATATCTAGCTTTCAATAAAATAAAATAAATTAATCAAAGAAAAAAAATATGAACCATATAGTAAGAAATCAAACGAATTATGATATGATAAATCTTGCACATAAAATGGAGGAAATCATGATGATTTAGTATTTAGTATCCAAATATATTTATTAGAAATCAAGCAAAATAAATTTGGCAAATTGAACATTATACTAAGGGCCTGTTCTGTTCCGTTGAAATTCAGTTCAATTCAGTTCAGTTAGTTCAGCTCAGTTCAGTTCAGTTCAGTTCAGTTCATTTCAGCTCTTAATTTATGTCTAATGATATTGCTAATGATATAAAGCCAAATTTCATTCTTTTAAGATCTTATTACAACGACAACAACAACAAAAATAATAATAATAAATTGTATATAAAAATAATAATAATAATAATAATAATAATAATAATATTAACAATAATAATAATAATAACAATAATAATTGAAATAATAATAATAATACTAACAATAATAATCAATAAATAATAATAATCATCAATAAATAATAATAATAATAATAACAATAATAATAATAATAATACTAATAATAATAATCAATAAATAATAATAATAATTATCAATAATTAATAATAATAATAATAATAACAATAATAATATTGATACAATTCATTGTTCAAATGGTTCTATTTTTTTGAAACATATTTCTAATGTTAATCTCATTGAGAAAATTAGAGTACTACACAACTTAAACTAATTTTATAATATATTTTCCATACATTTTATAATATATTTTCCATACATTTTATAATATATTTCCCATACATTTTATAATATATTTTCCATACATTTTATAATTATAATTATATAGTATATTTTTCGTAAATATTTTAATATGTACATTTGTATATACACATATGTATAGTAATAAATATCAATAAATAATCAATAAATAATCAAAGATCACTGATCCGTAGTTAAAAGTCACTAATTAATAAGTTCAGTTCAGTTCAGTTCGGTTCAGTTCAGTTCAGTTCAGTTCAGTTCAGCTCGGTTCAGTTTAGTTCAGTTCAGTTCAGCTCGGTTCAGTTCAGTTCAGTTCAGTTCAGTTCAGCTGAGTTCAGTCAATCGGAACAGGCCCTAAGATATCAATCCACCTTTTTAAAAATCAATTATATATTAATTTTCATATAATTCGTATATTTTCTTTCTTCTCGTTTGTTCCAAATTAAGGAGTACTCCGTAGTTTCTAAGAAAAAGGTTCTATACTATTTTGATACAGAGTACGGGCCTATTCACATTTACTGAATTATGCTGAACTGAACTAGTTGGAGCTGAACTGAACTAGATTGAATTGAACTGAGTTGAGCTGAAATGAATTTATGAGAGAGAAATTAAGAGCTGAACTGAACTGAACTGATTGAAGCTGAACTGAACTGATTGGAGCTGAACTGAACTGAACCGAACCAAACTGAAATTAAGTAAATGTGAATAGGCCCTACATCATTCCACTTACTACCAAAAAGTAAAGCGCTTGTGAGATTGATAAAAACAGAAAAAATTAAAATTTTTATGCAAATGAGAATAGTAGGAGAAAGATAAATTAAATAACACGGAGTAGTAGATCATTACCAAAATACGGAGTTCTCCGTAATACTCAAGGGTAAAATATTGCAAATTCTATTTTTTTTTTGTGAAACAAAATATTGCAATTAATATACTCTCTTCATTTTTTTTTATTGAATATTCCTTTTGATTATATTTTAGTCCCAAAATTTTCACCCCATTTACATTTTTCAACCGCCATTAATATTAATTTTTTTACTAAAATTCCATCCAATTTGTAACAATATTTGTGCAAATTTAATTTTCCCATGTAAATTTTGTTTTTTCATGTGCTTTTATCACTTTATCTCTCTACTTTTTTGAATACTCAATGTAAATTTATTTTTCTAATGTACTTTTACTACTTATTTATATTTATTAATTATAGTAAAAATTGTCCACAAAACAATATCAATAGTAAACTGTGGAAGTAAAACAAAACGAGTACTCCGTAAGTGTTCTACACCCATTAAATTTTGACAATAATAAATTTAAATTAAATTAAAAGAATTTTTTTTTTCAAAGTACCAGTCTACTGGAGCAGTTGCTTGTTACTGTACCACTTACAGTGTGGTTGATTGTACAGAATCATTTCTCCGCACTACTCAAAAAATTAAAATCCACACAGCCTGTTCTTTCATCACCTTAAAGATTCCGCGCCGATAAACTCGTCATTTTTTTATTATTTTTTTGATAATCTCGTCAATTTTATAACTCGTCAATCAATTTTATTTCCTTTTTTTTTTTTAAAAAAAAACCAAGTGGGCCCCACCTAAAATAAATAAAAATATTCCACATTTAATTATAACCAAATTCACTTATCGTATCACATAATAAGTAATCGTAGAAGAAGGCTCACTTATCAGATAAGTAAATTGCTTATCTTATCAAAGCTTTCTGTCTCCTCATATAAAAATCCACAAAAACATTATTTTCCTGCAAAAACAAACTCATCCATCCCCCATCCTTTTTATTTTCTCTCTCTTCATCCATCATTATTTTTTTTCATTTTCTCTCTCTAGAAGTCTAAACCCCCATTTTTAGAGAGAGAAAGTTGTAAGTAGAGAGAGAAAGTAAGTTGTAATCGAAGGAGAATTTCTCACCAATTTTTTCTTTTTTTATTTTTAATTTTTTATTTTGGGATTTGTATGGATCTCTTCTTCTGCTGTTGGTAAGATTTTAGGTCTGTGTTCTTCAAGTTTCAATTTTTTTTTAAATTTTTTTTTTTTTTTAAAGGAGTACTTTTTATTTTATGTAATTTTGTTTTTGATTAAAGTAAAAAAAAAAAACTAAAAAAACCCAGTTTGGGATTTTGGCATCTTTGATTTTTGATAGGGTTTAAGCTATGAAAGCAGCTTTAATTTTGATGATCTTTAAGAACCCTAATTTTTATTTTTCTCTCTCCTCTTTTTTCTGGGTTGTCGGCGATTTTTGAAAAATGTCGTTTAGGTAAAGTAAAAAATAAATAAATCCCAAATCTAATCTACTAACTGTTCGTCTTGGGTATATATTTTTTTTTCAATTTATATTTTCTTAATTTTTTTGGGAATATTTTTTATTTGTTTACTGTAATAATTGTTTATTTCTGGTAGATATTATGGTGGTTTTATTTACTTTTAAAATTTAATTTACCCATTTTTCTGATTTGGGGTTTTACAGATCTGGAGAAATTTGAGGAGATCACGGAATTTCTGGGCGGAAAAACGAAAGAGCAGTTTAAGATGTCATCTCTAAGTAGAGAGCTTGTTTTCCTGATTTTACAGTTTTTAGATGAAGAAAAGTTTAAGGAAACTGTTCACAAGTAAGTTTTTTTTTTTTTTTTTTTTTTTTTTTTTTTTCATATTTACAGTTTTGCTATGAATTTGGTTGCTTTATTGTTAATTATGTTTATGATGATTAAATTGAAATGGGTTATGATTTTTGCCTATGAATATAATTAGGCTTGAACAGGAATCTGGGTTTTTCTTTAATATGAAGTATTTTGAGGATGAGGTGCATAATGGTAATTGGGACGAGGTTGAGAGGTATCTTTCGGGGTTTACGAAAGTTGATGATAATCGATACTCAATGAAGATATTCTTCGAAATCCGAAAGCAAAAGTACTTAGAGGCACTGGACAAGTGAGTTTTTATGTTACATTTGGACTTTAGTTGATTGCAATTGTGATATTACTGGTGTTTATGTGAAATGTGGTCGATTGGGTTTTGTTGCAGGCATGATCGATCGAAGGCAGTGGATATACTTGTCAAGGATCTGAAGGTTTTTGCTTCATTTAATGAAGAGTTGTTTAAGGAAATTACTCAACTGTTGACATTGGAGAATTTCAGGTATTAATACTGTGTGGTGAGTAGTTTCTATATGTTATATGATTTTGGAACTATGGCATTGAATTGATTGCGTTTTGTTCACAGAGAGAATGAGCAGTTGTCTAAATATGGAGATACAAAATCTGCAAGGGCAATAATGTTGGTTGAACTCAAGAAGCTAATTGAAGCCAATCCCTTGTTTCGTGACAAATTGCAATTTCCGAATCTTAAGAATTCTAGGTTGCGAACCCTGATCAATCAGAGGTACAACATTAATGCGGATAGATTTTGTTCTGTGATTTGCTGGATTTGAGTATTTATGATGAATTTTAGGCTCTGCCATGTTGCTTTGTCGTTGTCGTAAAGTACAACTGTTAAAATTGGTCATGTAGCATTCGTAGCTATAGTGATTTTTGTACCATGTCATCTTGAGAATGACAATGTAGCAGTTAATCACCATTTACAAATGTAATTGCAGTGGAGAGAGTGAGAGACTGCAAATTTAAAGCATGATTGTTTTCGAAAAACGGATGGTTGACAACAAGAAACTGTAACAAAGCTTTATGTGGCTGCTGAAGAATATATTTATCATTGAGCAGCATACTTTTACTTGGCTTAAATGTAGTTCATGCTTCTATTGCTTCACTCCATTAGTCTGTCCTCACTTGGATGACCTATACTATCAGCATCAACAATTAAACTCTTGTTTAATTGACTTTCAATTGCAGCTTGAATTGGCAGCATCAACTGTGTAAGAACCCTAGGCCGAATCCAGATATCAAGACGCTGTTTGTGGATCACTCTTGTGGACAACCAAATGGTGCTCGTGCTCCATCGCCGGCTAATAATCCTCTATTAGGCTCATTGCCAAAAGCAGGAGGCTTTCCACCTTTGGGTGCACATGGGGTGGGTATAGTGGTTTTGATGATTTGTTGTATATGATTTTTCCTGGACTGATTCATGATCATGACAATATTTCTGCATATGCCTACAGCCTTTTCAGCCAACACCTGCTCAAGTGCCAGCCCCTCTTGCTGGATGGATGTCCAATCCTTCTACTGTAACTCATCCCGCTGTATCTGGTGGACCTATTGGGCTTGGTGCTCCGTCAATGCCTGGTATTGTTGTAGATACCTTTAATGTTTTGTTGAATTTGGTGGAAAATTCCGGTACCCTTTTACTGGCATTTGATAATTTGTTAATCCTTATGAATGTTATATTTCTTGATGTCCTCCTAGCTGCATTGAAGCATCCAAGGACTCCTCCTACAAATTCTTCCATGGATTATCCATCTGGAGACTCTGATCATGTTGCCAAGAGAACAAGACCGATAGGAATATCTGATGAGGTCTTTAAACTATATTATAATATGTATTCATTGTTTCTTCTGTAATTTGAATTAGGAAATTAAATTTGTCAGAATATGCTTTTTTCTTAAAAATCAAATTTGCTTTCTTTGGTACAGGTTAATCTTCCTGTGAATGTACTGCCAGTGTCATTTCCTGGCCATGGTCATACTCAGCCATTCAATGCACCTGATGATTTGCCCAAAAGTGTTGTTAGGACTTTGAATCAGGGGTCTTCTCCTATGAGTATGGATTTTCATCCTGTTCAGCTGACACTACTTCTGGGTTAGTCTCTGTCCATTTCTTTCACATTATGGATTTTTTTGATGATTTGTTCTGGATGACTGACTTGTGCCACTCTTTTGTTTTTCTTTCAGTTGGCACAAATGTCGGAGACATAGCATTATGGGAAGTTGGCTCCCGTGAAAGGCTGGTCTTAAGAAACTTTAAAGTTTGGGAGCTTAGTACGTGCTCAATGCCTCTGCAGGTATCCATTTTCTGATTTGCATCACATGTAGAATCCCCTGCTCTATAAATAATCTCTATGGTTGAGTGGTTGACTTATTAACTTCTGTCACCTTGCTTTTAATTCTTGTATAATTTCTCTTTTTTTCCTTGCTTTTTAGTCAGCTCTAGTCAAAGATCCTGCCGTTTCTGTTAACCGTGTGATTTGGAGCCCTGATGGATCCTTGTTTGGTGAGCTTTAGAGAATTTATAGTTTCTATTATGAGTTTTGTGTTGCTAAATTGTATGAAATATATCCTTTAGTTGATATATTTATCCTTTTCTTGTATTTATTTGTGTGATAGGGGTTGCATACTCAAGGCACATTGTACAAATATATTCATATCATGGTAATGAAGATGTACGACAACATTTAGAGGTATATAGAACAGCCAGAATCCTGAGTGAAAGATGATGGCTATGATTTTTTTTTTCACTGTTCAAATTTTGATGTGCTAAACATGTTTTTGAATGCAGATTGATGCTCATGTTGGAGGAGTGAACGATATTGCCTTTTCTACTCCTAATAAACAACTCTGTGTTATCACGTGTGGGGATGACAAGACCATTAAAGTTCGTTTTTCATCTTCTATATCCTTGCTTGCCTTTTTTAACCACATTTATGAATATTTAATCCATACTTGTCCTTATTTTATTATTATATGTAGGTGTGGGATGCTGCTACCGGTTCAAAGCAATATACATTTGAAGGCCATGAGGCTCCTGTTTACTCGGTGTGCCCACATTATAAAGAGAACATACAGGTTGCTACCATAATAATCTTCGGTGTTATATATATGATTATTTTTTTTGCTTGTATGATTTTGTGATGTTAAGGTGCCTTGATTTTGCATGTTTATGGAGCAGTTTATTTTTTCAACTGCTGTCGATGGAAAGATTAAAGCTTGGTTGTATGACAATCTGGGCTCTCGCGTCGATTATGATGCTCCAGGCCGCTGGTGCACAACCATGGCTTATAGTCAAGACGGGACCAGGTAGATCCACTAGAATGTTGTAGTATTGTTTCTGTTTGATTTGTATCTGCTTAACATAATTCTGCCCTTTTTCTTGTTTTTATTTGATTTCATATTATTTTTTGTTGGTCATTGCAGGCTTTTTTCATGTGGTACCAGTAAAGATGGTGAATCACATATTGTTGAATGGAATGAGAGTGAAGGTGCTGTGAAGCGAACCTATCAAGGGTTTCGGAAAAGATCGCTAGGTGTTGTTCAGTTTGATACGACTAAGAATCGATATTTGGCTGCCGGTGATGATTTTTCTATTAAGTTCTGGGATATGGACAATGTGCAGCTGTTGACTTCCATTGATGCTGATGGAGGACTTCCAGTAAGTTGTCTGTTGCAGTTGTGAAGATTAGATTATGTGATTTATTGCATGTCCCTTGCTAACTTACTAATGTTACTATCAATGTTTTTTTTTTGAAGGCAAGTCCACGTATCCGCTTCAACAAAGATGGTACACTTTTAGCAATCTCTGCAAGTGAAAATGGAATAAAAATTGTGGCTAATTCTGATGGCCTCCGGCTTTTACGGACATATGAAAATCTTTCATATGATTCCTCCAGAGCATCTGAATCTTTGACAAAGGTTACAGTTAGAGATTTATTTTCTGTTGCATGTAACTACTGTTGGGGAACCTCATAGCTAATATTTGACTTCTCTTGCAGCCTTCAATCAATCCCATTTCTGCTGCTGCCGCTGCAGCTGCTACTAGTTCTGGGCTCCCTGACAGAAGTGCCCCTATGATTTCCATGGGTGGAATGGTATGTTTCTAACGTGTTTGAGCTACATTTAATTTGCTTTGAGTATAGATACGCTTACCATTGCTTTGTAGCAAATCTTTTTTTTCCCCCTTTGCACTTTTTAATTATTGGTTTGTGGAGGCTAGTTCAGTGCTTGAGCACTTTATTGTCTGTTTACAAAGCTACAATTGCTCTGTACAGAATGTAGATGCTAGAAGCATGGGAGATGTAAAATCGCGAATTCTTGAGGAAACTAATGACAAATCAAAGATCTGGAAGCTTTGTGAAATCAGTGAACCAGCTCAGTGTCGTTCATTGCGACTCCCTGAACACATGAGAGCAGCTAAGGTATACTTATTAACATTTATTTTATAGAGATTAGACAAGATCTCTGAGATATGCTCCCTATCTACTTGAATAAGCCTTGTAGCAGATCTCTTTGCTATCTGGAAATTCTTGTTGCTCTTTCACTAGTTTTTAAGCTGTTAATCAGCTTACTATAAGCCTTTAGGAGGCTTTTGGTTGATGTGTGAGAGTCCTCAGTTGCTATAATTCAAAGATGGAAGGCAATAGTGTTTCTGCTTCCCATGAGTAATCATTATTTGCTTATTTCAAGCTAGTTCATCAGCTTTAAGACATTATATGTATTAAAATAGATCTCTTCCATTGGATATTTTTTATTATTAAAAGAGGGGGGGGGGGGGGGGAAGAGGGGAGGCATTATGAAATTACATATTGGATGGCTGATGCATTGAAGGAGACGCTTCTTGAGAATTAGGGACTTTGACTAGTGACCATATCTGAACAAAGGCATGCAACCAGACACTGTTGAACTGTGGAAAGTTTACAGAGAATCTTTGAATGTGAAGTTGTACGTGGCCTAAGTTTGGAGGTGAACCTGCATAATTGCATTGGACTACTTAGTCTGCTTCTGGATCGCTGATGTCGAGACCTGTGAAAGTTTTCCTGGACTCTTTATCACTTGAAGATTATTTAAAGTCTGGACTCTGGAGGCAGGGATACTCTTCAAGATTTAAAAGCTTTGAGGTCCTTGCCTTTTTATCTCTAGGTTTTGCATATATGTCTACAACAGTACAAATAGGGTGTGAAAACTGTGAATGTTGTATATAGCATGTCTGCTCAACTTGTAGCTTTATAGATATTTGGATGTAATTTGGAGGATGCGAAACTCAGAACAACATTGTTGCTGCCTGCTTATGCTATGAACTTCTGACAGTATTAATTCGTTTTTATGTTCTTTCAAAAAAGGGTATACAATGAGCTACGTTCACTGAGTTTTTTTTTTATTTATTGCATGGTGATGCAGATTTCTAGACTGATCTATACAAACTCAGGTAATGCTATCTTGGCATTAGCTTCAAATGCAATTCATTTGCTTTGGAAATGGCAGAGGAATGAACGTAACGCAAGTGGGAAGGTATGCTTGTAATATACACCACCTATGTAACTTTCTTTTGCTGGTTGCGTGAAAATGTCCTATATGTAACCTTAATATGTCTGTTTAGGCATCAGCTAATGTTCCACCTCAGCTCTGGCAACCCTCTAGTGGTATTTTGATGACAAATGATATCTCTGATGCAAGTCCTGAAGAGGCTGTTCCTTGCTTTGCTTTGTCCAAGAATGATTCGTATGTAATGTCTGCATCCGGAGGGAAGATTTCCCTTTTCAACATGATGACTTTTAAGGTAACCAATGGCACATAGTCTACGTTCCGGCTTGTTATTGAATATCTTTTGTTTTATTTTGCGCTTTATCACTGTATATTTTTTTTTTCTAATTTTCATTTGAGTGCAGACAATGACGGTCTTTATGCCTCCACCACCAGCAGCAACATTTCTTGCTTTCCATCCTCAAGATAACAATATAATTGCTATTGGCATGGATGATTCTACTATTCAGATATATAACGTTAGAGTAGATGAGGTATCTTGCAATTTTATGGTAATATTTGCAGATAACTTAGTTCAAAATTGACACTGACGATCTCCTTATTTGGTGCAGGTTAAAAGCAAGCTGAAAGGTCACTCAAAAAGAATAACTGGTTTGGCCTTCTCGCATTCGTTAAATGTTCTGGTCTCATCTGGTGCCGATGCTCAGGTATGTAATACTAAAGAGTTTCTATCCTCCTGAATTACTAGTACATGGATTATCTTTGTATATGCTTTTTGTATGGGACGGTTAGGGTGATTGGAACCATCTATGAATTTGTACTGCCTCTTTGCTCATCACTATCTTTTTATTTTATTGTGATGTCTAGATATGTGTATGGGGCTCAGATAACTGGGAAAAGCAAAGGTCAAAGTTTCTGCAGCTTCCTGCAGGAAGGGCACCGACAGCACCATCAGATACACGTGTCCAATTTCATCAAGACCAAATACATTTCCTTGTTGTGCATGAAACTCAGCTGGCAATTTTTGAAACAAAACAATTAGAATGTGTTAAGCAGGTGTGTCATCTTCCAAGCATGAAACGATGGCTTCAAGTCTTTACTTATGATGCTTTGCACTAATGTTTTTTTCTTTTTTTTTAAAAAAAAAATTTATTATCTGTTTTTCAGTGGGTTCCACGTGAATCTTCTGCTCCAATCTCCCATGCAACATTTTCTTGTGATAGTCAACTGGTATACGCCAGCTTCTTGGATGCAACTGTTTGTGTGTTCAGTGCTGCAAATCTCAGACTAAGATGTCGAATTAATCCTTCTGCATATCTTCCAGCCAATGTCAGGTACATATTTACTTGTTTAGCAGTGTTGACAGTTGGAATAGCATTTCTTTGCTGAGAGATGATAGCAAGCAACTTTTCATTCTATGAAAGAGTTTAAGAATCTGTATTGTTGATTTTGAAATTAGTGCTGGTGAAGAAAATTAGCCCTCCATGCACCTATTTGGTAGTAGTGTGTACGATGATGAGTTATGGAACTTTCTTATTTGGTTGATATACTTTTACATGCCTTTTTCAACACCAATAAGGGGAAGATTGGGGGTTGGGAGGCATGTGAGATTGTGAGAAGGTGGTCATCAAAATAGATTTCAAAATTAAGATTTTGCTATTGAGTGCTTTAATTGCGACATCAAGTTTCTTGAGATGCTCTAGTATGATTTAGCAAATTGCTGTTATACATCTAATTATTCTGTAATTATTGTATTGCAGTAGCTCTAATGTCCATCCGCTTGTCATCGCTGCACATCCGCAAGAAGCAAATCAGTTTGCGGTAGGACTTTCGGATGGTGGTGTTCATGTATTCGAGCCACTTGAATCTGAAGGAAAATGGGGTGTACCCCCTCCAATGGAAAATGGATCAGCAGGCAGTGGGCCAGCTACACCTTCAGTAGGACCATCGGGTTCTGATCAACAACAAAGATGATGCATGAAGTTGCAGAGCAGGAGTTAGTTGTTTGCTGGCTTATTTTCTATCTAGGTATGGTCATTACTCTCGAGCTTCCATGTTTGTTGATTAGATTGACACATTATTTCCTATTTCCGGGGTGAGTGAATATGAATCATCTCTCAGACTATCAGTCTATTTTTGGCTTTTTGCTGTCAAAGAAGATCTTGATCCTGTTGTTGTTTCAACTGTATGCAGGTTTAGGCTCTGGCTATGTATTTACTCAAGTTCGATTGTGCAGTTAAGGTATATGTATTTACTCAAGTTCGTTTAGAGATTAAACATGTTTGGGCCAGAGCAACATATGGTATATACAGTAGGAGTACCTATTCTCAGGTGTTCTCTTTTGTGTTAATGATGAAATATCTTTTGAAGAATCAAAATTTTATTCTCTTTCTTGATTTGTTTTAGTTTCTACTGTATTGTGGTGTGTTTGATAAGTTCTCTCGTTTAACCAATTTAACAGGCAGATGCTCATTCTTCAGATATATTTATTCCTTGAACCTAAAACAATAAACCAAATATACTTCCATTTTAGTTGATATGCGAATTTTATGAATCCATTTCCTAGAAATAGGGTTTTATTTTCCTTATTTGTACATGGTAACGTTTTATTATTCTCTCATAAAATTTGAGATGGGCGAATATGGGGGAACTGGAGAGGGTTAATAGGAGTCGTCCTCTTGAGTTTGGTCTTCCACCCGAGCTTGATTTAAGATCTTGGTGCCCTTGTGTAGTTGTGTGCCCGCCCTTGATTCATCCTCAATATAGAAACCAACATGGTGTTGCAACACAATTGGAATCAGCATGACATTAACACATAGTTATTGAGAGAAGGACATGAAGTCAACACTACACGAAACAAAACCGAACATGACCCGTTTAGATTAAATAATTATTTTTTGAGACTATCCCACATTATGCATAGATATGTTCCGTTTATTTTATACATAATGTGGGAACCGTAACCTCTTCCAATATTTTTAAGTTGAATCGATGTTGCGTTGACTTTTTGCCAACTGAACTCTTCTTTGCCTAACATTTGCAAATTTCAAACAAACATTGGTATTCAATTAATCCAACTCCCAAAGGACACACTATTAATGACAATAAACATGTAAGTAAGTCACATTATTGCCTTTTACGAAATATACTTGATTGGACAATAACGTCCTTTGGGAATAAAATAATAATCTGTTTGTAAAATAACATGTTTTGCTTCCTTTTGTGAACTTGTCATTAATTTTATACCTTAGCATTAAAAATTCACAAGTGAACAACTAATTGTAGTTTTTTATTTGTCTAAGATTAATAAATTATTGAAACTATTAATAGAGTAATACATGTCTCTAAACAAATATGTCTCATAGCCGGTTGATTTTTATTTATTTATTTATTTATTTTTTATTTTTTTTATTTTTTACGAATTCTACCAACCTATCACGTCATGTCTCATGTGTTTTTGTTGAGCAAAAATTAGGTGAATTAAACTTTAGAAGACGGAGTAATTTTTTTGTGATCAACCCGCGTATGTCACACTATGTCAAATTGTAGTATATTACAAAGAAAAACGCTCTTGGCTTGATTAAATTATCTCGTGAAGAAAAACCACTCAAAAGATCACAAAAGCAATACATTTTCATGTTGCAAATAACTGCTTGATGAATGCTGGGAGATGATCTTTGATTGTCTCGAGCATGAAAGAGACCGAGAATAAATTACTTTAGTCTGCAAGAGAGTCCTGTCGATTACCAATTCTCTACGAGTTAGCATAGAAGTACCCAGATTATACTCCAATCTCAACCATCTCTAGGCTGCTGCAACACGATTCTCCAACATTTTACTGCTTCTGAATGTTTATTTTCTGCTTTCATAATCAAGATCTGTATGATACTTCATTACTTTTATTCTGTTGTGTTACGACTGTTGACTCACCTTGGTTTGAAGTAGAGGATAAACCTGTTGTTTTTCTTTTTTTTTTTTTTTTTAAATTAGAATGTAATTTACTCAAGAAAGTAGCTAGCTTAGACATGGAACTTCCGGTAGTGCACCGGATTGAGTCTAAACAGAATCAGTCTCGGCACTCAGGTACAGAAATACTCATCGCCGAGGAGGATCAGTGAGAAACATACTCTAAAAATAAAGACAACTACTATATATATAGTCATGCCAACGTAAAGTTAAGGCTTTCAGTCACAATATCTAATATGGTAGTAACTAGCAAATAGCATTAAAATTTTAACAACTTAGGCAAAGAGCTAAAAACAGAGGAAAAGCAGAAACTGAAATCACACATTACTATATATAGGACCTCACAGAGTCACAGATATAGAGCACATGGAACGGAAACAATTTGACAATAATCTATAAGAAAAAATATAGTTAAGTGAGATCTAAAAGGAAGCAAACAAATGGAGACAGAGAGAGTACGTTAGAAAACTGATTTTTGCCTTTTGTCTACTACACTTGTATGAGTGTACCAAACGCGCACACGTGAACAAATGAACAATATAGGTCACTTATTACTATTGAAAGCAAAGTGTTGAGCTAATTTATTTATTTTATTTTTTCTATATCGGGATAAACTAAGTACGTCTTAATAATGACACCGTTAAATCATCTTTGAACAAATCATATCTCATAGTTGATCAACTCTATATATTAATGAATCTTCAGAAGACCGAGTAACTTGTTAAGGGATTTTTTTGTATCCAGATTTAGGTGATCAATCACGTAATCGAAACCATGTCAAATATATATATATATATATATATATATATATATATATATATATATATATATATATATATATATATATATATATATATATATATATATATATATATATGAGAAAAAAAAATAAAAAAATGAAACCAAGTCAAAAGCAATGCATTTTTTGATGTTGCTAATAATCTGATTTGACCCTGTTAGAGCAGATGGAAATGGAAGAAGAAGAAAGCAAAGAATTGCTCGACGAATGCTGGGAGATGATCTTTGATCGTCTTGAGCATGAAAGTGACCGAGAATCAATCACATTAGTTTGCAAGAGGTTCCTGTCAATTACCAATACTTTACGAGATAGTATAAAGTTCTCAGATTGTACACCAATCTCAACTACCTCTAGGCTGCTGCAACGATTCTCAAACCTTAAGAAGATACGGTTCTGTAACTTTTCAGGAGACCTGAATGAAGCCGTTGTTGCGATTGCAAGGTCAGGGTTGGACCTAGAAGAGTTGTTGGATGTGTCACATGATAGAAGACAACCAGCATTTTGGTTGGAGGAGCTAGGTTCAAAGATGCAGAATCTGAAAGTACTGAGGTTTGCAAGTGGACAGGGAGATGCTGATCTTGTCAGAGTAGCAGACTCGTTCCCTGAGCTCGAGGAGCTGCAGATTGGGGACTGTCGTAGTAGAGGTGATTATCGTACCATTGTTGTGACTGGTGAAGGGATAGAGTATCTGTCATCCAAGCTCAAGAAATTACGCAAAATAGATATTTCGGAGAAACAGCCTAAACCACATATATCAGATAAGTCCCTTGTTTCGCTGTCAAAAAATTGTGCATTACTAGAGCAGATTAAACTTCGTTATTGTTATTCTGTGACAGAATGTGGTATTTCATTCCTTATAAATAATAGCCATCATTTAAACTCCTTACATTTATTTGCATATATTAAGATTGGATCATTCGGAGCCAAAGGCTGTACTAATCTTCTAACCAACTTACGATCTCTAAGGCTCCAATGGGTAGACATATCGGATGAGTTTCTGATTTCTTTAGTAGAAGCGCGAATTCCACTTACTGACTTGGCTCTCTCATATTGCAAAAACTACACATTTACCGGGTTTTTAAGGCTCCTACAGTACATTTCTCAATCTCTGAAATCTTTAAAGTTGGGGGAAGTTGAATTCCTCACAAATGAGCATATAGAGTACTTGTCCCCTTTTCTCCAAAACTTGACATCAATTAAGCTCATTGATTGTTCCAATCTATCTGATTCCGCTTTTGTTATGATCACACAAACATGCCCTCGTCTATACCATTTTAAAATGACCAATTCAAGCATCAGAAGAGAAAATTACAAATTTGATGGCCTAGAGAAGAAAAACTCTGCAATAAAGCACTTGGACCTGTCATCACATCAAAACTTAAGCCATTCAGTTCTGAAAAGGCTTCTTACCATCTGTCCTGGAGTGGAGAAGCTAAAGCTACGCGATTGTTCTTTCCTACAATCTGATTGTCTGAATGTTTATGATATTCTAGAGTGCAACAGGCGCCTTGTGAAATTGGATTTAAGTAGATCACATCATCTGAAATATTCCAGAAAAAGCATGGAATCCTCAATGTTAGAAGAGTTGATAGCTAAGAATTCATGGATAGGCGATGATTTTCTTACAAAGTTAGGGATGATCAGCCCTAGATTGATTCACCTCGATCTTGAGGGCTGCAGAAGAGTGACAGATGAAGGGGTTAGGGAAGTGGTGAAATTGTGTAAACGACTGAGATACTTGAGCATTAGTTCTTGTAAAAATGTGGATTTCAGCATAATAGCATGGATAGTTATTAACAGTCCATCCTTGAGAAAACTGGTCTCACCATCTAATAAGTACCCAAACGACGAATACCAGAAACTCTTCTTGCAGAGAGGCTGTCTTGTCCTTAAGGGTTTAGAATACTCATATGATTCATATGTTGACCACTATGCATTATAAGTTATAGTCTGAAATTGTTTATATTGTAATAAGTACACTAGTAGATTGTTATCACAATTTACTGAATTTGAATGTTTCTTTTCTGCTTTCATGATCAAAATCTGTATGATGCTCCCTTTCTTTTATTCTGCTGTGTTACAGCTATTACCTCACCTTGGTTTAAAGTAGAGGATAAAACTGTTGAATTTTTAAGTGTGAAATGTAATTTCCTCAAGAAAGTAACTAGACAAGGAACTTTCAATCAGTAATTAATCATGCACAGGATGGATTCAGAAACAGAATCAGTCTCGGAATTCAGGAGTAAAATACTCATGACCGAGGAGGATAAGAAAGAACATACTCTAAACGTTAAGACAACAACTATATGTCTATAAACAACCTAAAGTTAAGGCTTCCAAAGTATTAACCAACTGATGAACATTGTTTTTTCAATATCTAATATGGTAGCAAGTAGCATTGAACTTCTAACAACTTAGGCCAAGGGCTAAAAACAGAGGAAAAGCAGCAACTTATAATCACACATTACTACTAATCTATAAGAAATAACCCTCATTTGAGATCGTGTTAGATTCATTTTAATGTCAGTTTGATACCAATTGGAAGCTCCATGTCGAGAGGAGTTAATTACATTTGTAACTTAAAAATCAACAGGTTTATCCTCAACCTTCAAACCAAGGCGAGGTAAGTAGGTAACATAACAAAATAAAAGAAATGGAGTATTATCAATGTATCATACATCTCGTCAAAAATAAAATAAAAATGTCATACAGAATTTGATCATGAAAGCGGATATAAAATATTCAGATACGCTTTGGATCCTTGAGGACAAGACAGCCTTGCTGCAGGAAGAGTTTCTGGTTTTCGTCATCTGGGTATTTGCAAGATGATGACACCAGTTTTCTCAATGATGGTCTGTTTCTCACTATCCATGGTATTATATTGATATCCAAATTCCAACAGGAACTTATGGTCAAGTATCTCAGTTGTTTACACGATTTCACCACTTCCTTTACACCTTCTTCTGTCACATGAAGGCAAAACTCCAGATCCAGGTGAATCAATCTGGGGCACATCCTCCCGAAGTTTATAAGCATTTCATCATTTAAATCTGAAAACTTCAAAATCAGCTTCTCTAACACTGACAACTCCATGTCTTTTGCAGTTAAATACTTGATACCAAGGCATCCTCTTAAATTCAGTTCCACAAGCTTCTTGTTGCACTCTAGTATATCAGGAACATTCAGTTTATCATGGCGTACGAATTTACAATGACTTAGGTCGAGCTTCTCCACTTCGGGAAATATGGTAAGAAGCCTTTTCAGAACTGTAAGGCTAAAGTCATAATGAAATGCTAGGTTCAAGTACTTTACTGCACGGTTCTTCATTAGGCCATCATAATTGTATTCTTCTGTTCCGAGGCTTGAACCAGTCATCGCAAAATGGCACAGACGAGGGCATCTTTGTGTGATCATAACAAAAGCTGAATCAGATAGATTGGAACAATTAAAGAGCTTAATTGATGTCAGGTTTTGGAGAAAACAGGACAAGTACTCTATATGCTCATTTGTGAGGAATTTTACTCCCAAGTCTAAAGACTTCAAAGATTGAGATGTTTGCAGCAGGAGCCTTGAGATCCCGGTAAACGTGTAGCTTTTGCAATCTATTACAGCCAAGTCGGTAAGAGATAGTCGTGCTTCTGCTATAGAAAAGAGAAACTTATCCGATATGTCAACATCTTGGAGCCTTAGAGATCGTAAGTTGGCTAGGAAATTAGAAGAGCCATTAACTCCAAATGTATCAATCTTAAGATCTTTAAGTATGTAAAATAATTTCAAATGATGGCTATTGTTAACAAGGAATGAAATCCCTTCTACTGTCACTTTATTACACTGATAAATTTTTATATGCTCGAGTAATGGACAGTTTTTTGACAGAGAAACAAGGGACTTATCTGTTATAAATGCTCTGTTAGAAAGGTCTATCTTGCGTAATCTTTTGAGCTTGGATGACATGTAATCCACCCCTTCATCAGTGACAGTAGTAGTATACTCTCCTTCATGATCGATATAAAGTTCTTCAAGATTAGGAAACGAGTCTGCTATTCTGGCAAGATCAACATCTCCACGTCCACCTGAATATTTGAGTACTTTCAGATTCTTCATGTTTGAACTCAGCTCCTCATACCAAACTGCTCGTTTATATTGATCGTGTGACAAAGCAATCAACTCTTCCAAGTCCAAACCTGACCGTGCAATCAAAGTAACAGCTTCATTCAGGTCTCCTCTAAAGTTACAGAACTGTATCTTTTTAAGGTTGGAAAATCGCTGCATTAGCCTAGAGATGGTTGAGATTGGTGTATAATCTGAGAACTTTATGCTAACTCGTAAGGAATTGGTGATTGATAGGAATCTCTTGCAGACTAAAGAGATTGATTCTTGGTCCCTTTTATGATGGAGACGATCAAAGATCATCTCCCAGCATTCATCGAGCAAATCTTTGCTTTCTTCTTCCATTTTGATCTGCACTAATGGATGGAATTGGATCAGATTATTAGCAACATGAGAAAAGATATTGCTTTTGATTTTGGTTTCCTTAACATAACAATGTGATCTATTTGTGCACAAAATAAAATAAAAAATAAATAATGTGTTTTATCATTATGTACAAAACAAGGTTATTATCAAGGCAGTGCATTTATTTTTTTAACATATATATTATGCTTTGACATAGTTTCTATTAGTGATTGATCACCTAAATCGGAACAAAAATCCCCTTACAAAAGTTGCTCAGTCCTGAAGTCTAATTTACTTAATCTGAACAAAAATCCCCTTACGTGATAGGCTAATAGTATTCATTCATATACAAATAGACCTGCTTTATTGTAGATTCATTCAAATACAAGCACTATTATTTATTAATGGTGTCATTATTGAGACCTACTTATTAGTAAAGAATAATAAATAAATAAACTTAACACTATGCACGTCTTTAAGCGAATTAATGCTATCTCATAGCAGATCGAATTTTTATACGAACTAATAAGTGCCTCCGAGCTTTGCCCATTTCAGAGACCGATTTTATTTATTAGTGATATGATGTGCTATAAGCCAATTATGTCACATTTTTTTATTTGCCGAACAATACTTTAGTGAACTAAATTTCATATATATATATATATATCAATAATCATCAATCAATCAATAATATATACTAAAAGACACACCAGCAATGACACGTGTCATTTTCTGGTGTGTCCTTTAGGTTTTATTATTTTTTTAAAATAATCTTTAGTAAACAAATCTTATACATCAACAAAAAAAATAGCAAAATCTAATATATATAAATAAAGTAGGCATTTTTCGGAAGCATTCGGGGCGCCACATAAGAAAAGTAAATATTTCGTCCAATGATAAATTAGATTTTTATTTTAATTTTGAATAAAATAATTGTATCGCCACGTAGGTAAAAGTAGCGAATAAGATATGGTATTTATCTTATAAAATTTTAATGCCACATAAAAAAATTGTATCGCCACGTAGGTAAAAGTAGCGAATAAGATATGATATTTATCTTATAAAATTTTAATGCCACGTGGATGAAAAACCACAAATTTTATTTATCATTATCTTTATTTGTCTTATAATAATTTTTTTTAAAAAAAATTCTTAAAAAGAAAAGTGCACAAATTTTACCAACGTAGAATAGGAATGACAACTCCACTTTAATAATGCAACCGAATCAAAATTATCTTAAAATGATTTATTTATTTATTTATATTTTTTACCATTAAAGTATAATAAGTATGAAAATTCCACTTTAATACTTAACACTTTCGGTCAAATAAAAATTTAAGGGAAAATTATCTAGCTTGTGACACTATATCACAAGTACTAAATAATACCTCCGAAAAAAATTATATTTAAATGATAAAGTATCATTATAAGATAAATTTTGATAGTGTTTATGATAAGAAATTAAAATTGTTCATTAATCTTAATTTTTTTATACCTATTGTTATAAATTGACACATATACGACACCAACAAAATTTCATATTTATACAAAATTCGCATCTAGAGAATTTTGTATTGGTAATTTTGTGTCGGTTTTAGGTCATCAATGGTAGGGTACTTTTTAGCTTAATTTCATATGTTTATGTGTTTGTTTGATGAATTTCGTTTTTACATGCACATCAAAGAATTAAATTCGAGCAAAAATAATTAAAAATTCAAAGTACGAGTTTTTCACCTGTTTGATGTACTAAATTTCTGCAAACAAAATAGCTTAATAAGTCTGGATATGGTAATATTGGACGAAGAGGTATTTTTAAAAACAAATATTGTGATTTGGATTGCATAATCAACTTATTAAATTAATTTAATTTCTTATTTTTAATTTCAGGGTGATTACACAAGTTCATGCCTCAATTTAAAGACAACTGTGTTGAACATTTTCGTCCAAACTTGATTGAAGACTATGAAATGTTTACTCTATTAGAAACTTTTCAGTCGTTCCAAATAATAAGTAATATCGCGTTGTCATATCGACAACAAAATAATGATTCAATAATTAATGATGAAAAAAATTCCAATGCATAGATTTGATTTTATACATTCACAATTTTTAGATCTATTTCGCAACAATTATATCGATATTTTTTATTAGGTTTTAATAATATTCTTACATATATTTATGTGTATCTAGTAATTTTTTTTTACATTTTGCTTATGTGTAATTTTTTTAATGTTCTTATTGAAATATTTATTAGGAAAAACAAGTTTATGTAAAGCTTTGGAATAATATTTTGTTGAGCATACCAAACAGAAAAATCAACTTAAGTTTGTTTTTTTGTAAAAAAATTATTCTTATTCATTAGTCAAGTATGCAAAACATGAATTTGTTAAATTGAAATAAACTATGAAAATATTATCTCATTCGTCGGGTGGTTAAATAAAATCATTTAGATCGATCAAAAGATTTTTTAATTCTATTAAAAAAATTAATTTTTTTAATTAATTTTTTAAAATATACTACTTCTAATATAAAAGATAATAAGAAATTACAAAAATAATATACAAAATGAAATACAAAAAAACCGTGCATCGCACGGGCTTACATCTAATAATACATAAAGAAAAGATTTGACAAATCTTATACATAGTACATAGATAGCAAAATAATATATAAATCAGAGATTTGATATGTCTTTCCATGTAAATAAAAAAAAAATAGTAAATCAGATTTTTAACATAATTGTGCCATAATTACAACAATAATTATATTATTTTTATTTAATTGTTAAATATATGTTAATATCATCAATAATCAATCAATAATAATCTAATATATATAAATAAAATAGGCATTTTTCAAGAGCCTTTGGCGCGCCACATAAGAAAATGTAATATTTTGACCAATGAAAAATTAGAATAATAATTTATTTTAGAATTAAAAAATTCACTCACCACCTAAGCAAAAGTGACAAATAAGATTCAAGAATTTTACCACATACATAAAACAACGAATTGTGAATAATTAAAATTTAAATAATACAAAAAACTAAAAATTATCTTTTTGAAAAAAACTAACAATAATCTTTAAATATTAGGATATAAATTATTAAAAAAAATATATTAATTAGTACTTTTAATTTTTTGATATTTATCAACAATGTTAAGACACGTGCATTATAAGTTATCATAAGGTTGTGTGCATTATAAGATAATTTTTGACAATACAAGCTCAAGAAACATAAATAAATAATACTTAAAATTATATCACAAATAATATTAGATTTAAATTATAAGCGTTTTTAATAAAATTTGTGATACCTACGATTATAAGATAATTTTTTACAGCATTATAAATTAACGCATCATACGAAATACAAAACCAATCAAGGGAATTTGTGTTAGTAATTTTCTCTCAGTTTTAAGTCATCAATGGTTGGGTAAATCTTAACTTAATTTTTTAAAATTTTATATTTGTAATTATTACTTACATTATGTTTTTTGGGATATTTAACGAGTATATGTGTATGTTTTGTTTAATTTATTGAATTTTGTTTTTACATGCCTATCTAATTTAATTGGGGAATTAAATTCGAGCAACAATTGATTGGAAAATCAAAGTACGAGCTCTCGCCTATTTGACACACTAAACATCCCCAAATTAAACAAGATAGCTTAATAAGTTTGTATATGGTCCAATTGGACAAGGAGGTATTATATTTTTATAAATTGTTTATCTTTATTAAATTTCATTAATATACACCTTTTTGGTTTTTTTATTAATTAGTATAATGAAAAAATCTAACTTAATTTCTTATTTTTAATTGTAGGGTGATTACGTTCATGCCTCAATTAAAGCCAACTTTGTCCAACACTTTCGTCCAAAATATATTGAAGGAAATAATTTCCTTATATGGAGCATGTTTATTTTAGCTTTGGAATTACAATATTTTCTTCAAAATACATAAATATTTTAACAAAACAAAAAGAATACATAATAATTAGAATTAACATATTCAATTTCCAATAAATACTTAGAAACTAATCTAAATAAATACTACTCATGTACAAAGGGATTTATAAAAAAGATTTATAAGTTTTTTAAAAAGGGAAAAAAAAAGATTCAAAAATATTACAATAAAATTCATGCATCGCACGGGCTTACATCTAGTATATATATATATTTTAACCAGATTTAGGTGATCAATCTACAGTGTATTTGAAACTATGTCAATGCTTGAAAAGGAAAAAATGAGGATTTTCCCATAAATCCCATGAGACCCCAAGAGGCGATTTTGGTGTTTAAAAACTAGAAACCATCACTTTATCTCTCAATTTAGTCTATTATATAAAATTATAAATGCTTCTTTTGAGCAACTTAAATATCACCCTGTGCCAAACTACCAATCGATTAGTGATCATGTTAGTTCCAAATAACATTGCATGCATGACCTCATGATTCATCCCCTACCCTTATCATAATTTGAGTTTTCAACACAAAGTCTCAAAATGTTTATAATGTCCAATTTCGTTCTCCGTATATTATAGCCTTAAATTTAGCGTTCAAATAACACTTTCAAACCCGTAAAGGTTGGACATAAGATGCTTTCCACCACAATTCCTAATGGACTTAGGGCTTGTTCACATTCACTGAACTGATTTGAGTTGAACTGAATTGTACTGATTGGAGCTGAATTGAACTGAAAATTTTACGAGAGAAGAAAATTAGGAGCTGAACTGAAATTAAGCTGAAGTGAACAGGCTTTTAAGAAGACATTTGAATTTCTTTTTTTATGCTTAAAAGTCAAAACCAATTCATTCATTCATGAAAAAAAACTCCACCTTTTTGCTCTAGTTAAAATAACCTGTAACGGTGGCTCTCGGTGGTGCCGTCGCCCGCTGAGCTACTCAGGCACCTCTGCGTCACCATCCATTCTTTAATCTCCGGCGAATTTCAATCTGTAGGTATGAAATTCATTACTCAATTTTTATTCTAATTCTCAATTGGTTCTATTCAATATTATCTGATGTATGAATCCAGAAATTATAAAAGTTAGATCGAAATTTTCTTACTAATCGAGCAATGTAATCAACTCAAAGTTAATTTGATTGATAGATAATTCAATTTGTATGTGTTCAGATTTTGAATTTGCTGGGTTTCTGGAATAAATTAATCAAGTATTGAATAATTTATAGATTTTTGCAATACACTGACTTGATAACCTTGTCTGTAAATAAAACCAGTGTAAAAACTTGAAAAGTTCAGATCACATTGTTGTGTAAAGGAAACCAAGTCAAAACTCGAAAGATCAGAACAAGTTGTTTTGTAAAAAAAAAAAACAGTTAAAACTTGTAAAGATCAAATCACATTATTATGTAAAGGAAATTAAGTCAAATCTCGAAAAGATCAGTTCATGTTGTTTTGTTAAGAAAATCAATCCAAAGTTGAAATGATCAAATGACATTGTTATGTAAAGGCAACCAAGTCAAAACTTAGCTTGAAAAGATCATGTCACGTTGTTTTGGAAAGAAAACCAGTCAATGATCGAATTACATTGTTATTTAAAGCAATACATTCTCAGTGTTGCAAATAATCTGATCTGATCTCATTTGGGCAGATAGAAATGGAACAAGAAGAAGAAAGAAAAGAATTGCTCGACGATTGCTGGGAGATGATCTTTGATCGTCTCCAGTATAAAAGTGACAAAGAAGCAATCACTTTAGTCTGCAAGAGATTCCTGTCAATCACCAATTCCTTACGAGTTAGCATAAAGCTCTCAGATTATACACCAATCTCAATCCTTCCTAGGCTGCTGCAACGATTTTCAAACCTTAAGAAGATACAGTTCTGTAACTTCAGAGGAGACATGAATTAAGCTGTTGTTGCGATTGCACGATCCGGGTTGGACTTGGAAGAGTTGTTGGCTTTGTCTGATATTCACATTCAACGAGTAATTTGGTTAAAGGAGCTGGGTTCAGACATAATGAATCTCGATCTGGAATCATTCAAGCAACAAGCAGTTTGGTTAGAGGAGCTGGGTTCAAACATGAGCAATATGAAAGTACTCAAGTTTAATGGTGGACGGGGAGATGCTGATCTTATCAGAGTAGCAGACTCATTTCCTAAGCTCGAAGAATTGTATATCGAGCATGAAGGAGAAAGTAATATTGTTGTGACCGATGAAGGGATGGATTATATGTCATCCAAGCTCAAGAGATTACGCAAGATAGACCTTTCGAACAAAACACATATTTCAGATAAGTCCCTTGTTTCTCTGTCAAAAAACTGTCCATTACTCGAGCAAATTGAAATTAATGATTGTAATTCTGTGACAGAAGAAGGAATTTCATTCCTTGTTAACAACAGCCATCATTTGAACATGTTATACATATGTAAATATTTTAAGATTGATTCATTTGGAGTTAAAGGCTCTACTAATCATTTTCCAACAAACTTGCAATCTCTAAAGCTCCAAAATGTAGACATATCAGATGAATTTCTTGTTTCCATAATAGAAGCACGAATTCATCTTACCGACTTGGATCTAACAGATTGTGAAGGTTATACATTTACGGGGATCTCAAGGCTCCTACTGCACACTTCTCAAACTCTGAAATCTTTAGAGTTGGGGGGGTTCAGGGAATTAGAATTCCTCACAAATGAGCACATAGAGTACTTGTTGTCTTTTCTCCAAAACTTGACATCAATCACGCTCTTTAATTGTTCCAAGCTATCTGATTCAGCTTTTGTTATAATCACACAAAAATGCCCTCTTCTATGCCATTTTTCGATGACTGGTTCAAGCCTGGGAAAAGAAGAATACAATTATGATGGCCTAATGAAGAAAAATCGTGCAATAAAGTACTTGGACCTATCATCTCATCATGACTTTAGCCCTACAGTTCTGAAAAGGCTTCTTAACATGTGTCCTGAAGTGGAGAAGCTCAATCTAAGTCATTGCTTATTTCTAAGCCATGATAAACTGAATGTTCCCGATGTCCTACAATGCAACAGGAAGCTTGTGAAACTTGATTTAACAGGATCCCATCGTATCAAGGATGATTTAACCGGAAATGACATGGAGTTGGAGGTGTCAGCGTTAGAGAAGTTGATTGCAACATTTTCAGGGATAAACGATAAATTGCTTACCAAGTTGGGGAGTATCTGCCCCAGGTTGATTCACCTGGATCTGGAGGATTGCGATAAAGTGACAGAAGAAGGGGTAAAGGAAGTGGTGAAATTGTGTAAACGACTAAGATACTTGAGCATAAGTTGCTGTGAAAAAGTGAATTTCAATATAATACCATGGATAGTGACAAATAGACCATCCTTGAGAAAACTGGTGTCATCATCTCGTGATTATCCAGACGACGAAAACCAGAAACTCTTCCTGCAGCAAGGTTGTCTTGTCCTCAAGGATCCAAACTACCTTTTTAATTATGAAGATGAGTTTTCATGTAATCTGCCATAGTTTGAAATTGTATTTTTAATTATAAGTACACTAGTCGATTTTTATTGCCATTAACCGTGTCTGAATGTTTAATTTCCCCTTTCATGATCATAATCTATATGATATATTGATAATACTCCATTTATTCTTTCTTTTATTCTGCTGTGTTACCTCGCCTTGGTTTGAAGTTGTGGATAAACCTGTTGATTTCTAAGTTAAAAATGTAATTTACTAAAAAAATTAACTAGATGGGAACTTCCAATATGTAATAGTGCACCATATAAACAATCTCAGCACTCAGGACTCAGGAGCAGAAATACTCATCGCCGAGGAGGATCAGTGAGTAACATACTCTAAACGCTAAGACAACTATATATATAGTCAAGCCAACTTAAAGTTAAGGCTTCCAGTACTGTATAAACAACCTCAACAATATTATTTTTCAATAATATCTAATATGGTAGCATGCAGCATTTATGTCACCATTTCTGACTTTCAGAAAAATAGGAGTTTACCATTGAGAATTTCCATTTATTCTTTCTATATTGAGATGTATAATGTAAGCCTCAATAATGACGTCGTTAATCATCTTTAATTGAACAAATCCTATCTCATAGCTGATCAAATCTATATTTTAAGGAAATTCAACTTTAGAAGGACAAAGTAAATTTGTTAAGGGAATATTTATATCAAGATTTAGGTGATCAATCACGTTTCGAAACTATGTCAAAGCATATTATATAGATATAACAATGAAAAATAGATATAACAAAGAAAAAAAATGCAATGGGTTGCATTCATAACCTTGTTTTGTAAAGAAGACTAGTCAAAACTTGAAAAGATCACATTGTTATATATTGTAGAGGAAAGCAAGTCAAAAGCAATGCATTTTCTCATGCTGCTAATAATCTGATTGTACTCATAAGAGCATATGAAAATGGAAGAGGAAGCAAGCAAAGAATTGCCTGACGAATGCTGGGAGATAATCTTTAATCGTCTCAAACATGAAAGTGACCAAGAATCAATCACTTTAGTCTGCAAGAGATTTCTTTCAATCTCCGATTTCTTACGAGTTAGCTTAAAGTTATCAGGTTATACACCAATCACAGTCCTCTGTAGGCTACTGAAAAGATTCTCGAACCTTAAGAAGTTACAGGTCTGTAACTTCAGAGGAGACATGAATGAAGCTATTCTTGCTATAGCACGGTCTGGGTTGGACTTGGAAGAGTTGGTTGCTTTGTCAGATTGTCGAAGTCATCCGGAAGTTTGGTTAGAGGAGCTGAGTTCAAGCATGAAGAGTCTGAAAGTACTCAAGTTTACTGGTGGAGAAGGAGATGCTGATTTTGTCAGAGTAGCAGACGCGTTCCCACAGCTTGAGGAACTATATATCAAGGATGAAGCACCGTATATCATTTCTGTGACTGATAAAGGGATGGATTATATGTCATCCAAGCTCAAGAGATTACGCAAGATAGACCTTTCAAATAAATCACGGGTTTCAGATAAGTCCCTTATTTCTCTGTCAAAAAACTGTCCATTACTCGAGCAAATTGAAATTCATGACTGTAATTCTGTGACACAAGAAGGAATTTCATTCCTTTTTAACAACAGCCATCACTTGAACTTATTATACATATGTAAATATCTTAAGATTGATTCATTTGGAGTCGAAGGCTCTACTAATATCCTAACCAACTTACAATCTCTAAGGCTTCAATATGTAGACATACCGGATGAGTTTCTCTTTTCTATAATAGAAGCACGGATTCATCTTACTGACTTGGCTCTAACAGACTGCAAAAGCTACACCTTTGACCGGTATCTCAAGGCTCCTACATCACTCTTCTCAATCTCTGAAGTCTTTAGAGTTGGGGAGAGTAGAGTTCCTCACAAATGAGCATGTAGAGTACTTGTCGTCTTTTCTCCAAAACCTGACATCAATCAAACTCTTTAATTGTTCCAAGCTATCTGATTCAGCTTTTGTTGTGATCACACAAAGATGCCCTCATCTATGCTATTTTGTGATGACTGGTTCAAGCTTCGTTAGAGATGAGTACAATTATGATGGCCTAATTAAGAACCGTGCAATAAAGTACTTGGACATATCATCTCATCAGGAATGTAGGCCTAAAGCTCTGAAAAGGCTTCTTAACATATGTCCGGAAGTAGAGAAGCTCAAGCTACACGGTTGTTATCTCCTACCCGATGATCAACTGAATGTTCCTGATATTCTAAAGTGCAACAGGACCCTAGTGGAACTGGATTTTACCGGATCACATCATATCAGTGTAAAAGACATGGACTTGGAGTCGTCAGAGTTAGAGAAATTGATAGTGAAATTTTCATTGATAAATGATATATTTCTTACAAAGTTGGGGAGGATATGCCCCAGATTGATTCACCTAGATCTGTCGTATTGCAGTGAAGTGACAGAAGATGGGGTAAAGGAAGTGGTAAAATCGTGTAAACGACTGAGATACTTGAGCTTAAGTCGCTGTGAAAAAGTGGGTATTAACATAATACCATGGATAGTTGCAAACGGACCATCCTTGAGAGAACTGGTGTCATCATCTCGCAACTACCCAAACGACGAAAATCAGAAACTCTTCCTGCAGCAAGGCTGTCTTGTCCTCAAGGATCCAAACTACCCCTTAAATAATGAAGATGAGTTTATGTGTAACATGTTATAGACTTTTAGAGTGGAATTATGTATATAAATAATAAGTACACTAGTAGATTGTATTGCAATTTACTGTGTCTGAATGTATATAATAATAAATGATCTGTATGATATGTTAATAAAACTCCATTCCTTTTATTCTGCTGTATTACCTCGCCTTGATTTAAAGTTGAGGATAAACCTGTTGATTATAGTGCACCGGAGTCAGAAACAGAAACAGTCTTGACACTCAGGAGCAGAAAAACTCATCGCGGAGAAGGATCAGTGAGTAACATACTCTAAAATATAAATATATAAGACAGTAACTATATATATAGTCAAGCCAATGTAAAGTTCTAACAATATCTAATATGAAGTGTCTAATATGGTAGCAAGTAGCAATTAAGTTCTAACAACTTAATCAGGCCAAGAGCTAAAAGCAGAGGAAAAGCAGCAACTGAAATCATTCATTATTGTATGTCATAAGATCTTGCAGGTATAGAATTCATGGAACATAAACAGATTGACACTAATCGTGAAGAAATAATATAGATATGGGATTTCTTGTTAAATTTGTTTAAATGTGTAATGTAAGAATATTGGTTTTTTTAATAATAATTTTGTGTATAACATTGGAGATATTCATGATTTAAAATGTGCCTATGGCTCTATTCATGCTTTTAGTCTCGAAAACTGAAAAGTAAAAAAGAACAAACAAATGGAGACGTAGAAAACAGATGTTTTCAACTACACGTGTATAGTTGTGTATCATATGCCCAAACGTGAACGAATGAGCATTTATAGGTTGCTTGTTATTATTGAAACTTATAATTTTTTAAAGCATAGTGTTAAGCTAAGTTTTTCTATATTGGGATATATAATAGCTGATTGAATTTATATACGAATGCTATTAGCCAATCATGTAATGTGTTTCAGAGCAATAATTAAGTGAACTCAACTTCAGAAGGACAAATTATCCTTTCTTTTTTGCTGTAAATTTTGTAAATGCATATAAATTCAATGGCTTGATTACCTTGTTTTGGAAAGAAAATCAGTCAAAAGTTGAAAAGATCAGATTGCATTGCTATGTAGAGGAAACCTGTCAAAACTTGAAATGATCATATTCCATCGTTAAGTAAAGAAACTAAGTCAAGTGTTAAAAAAATAATAATAATAATAAAAAAAAAAACTTGGTCAAAACTCGAAAAATCAGACCAAGTTGTTTTGTAAAGAAAACCAGTTAAAACTTGAAATGATCAAATCATATTATTATGTAAAGGAAAGCTAAGTCAAAACTCGAAAAGATCAGTTCATGTTGTTTTGTAAAGAAAACCAATCAAAACTTGAAAAGATCAAATCACATTGTTATGTAAAGGAAATCAAGTCAAAACTCGAACACATCAGATCACGTTGTTTTGTAAAGAAAACTAGTCCAAACTTTAAATGATCAAATCACATAGTTATGTAAGGGAAACCAAGTCAAAACTTAACTTGAAAAGATCAGATCATGTTGTTTTGGAAAAGAAAATTAGTCAATGATCAAATTGCATTGTATTTAAACCAAGCCTAAAGCAATACATTCTCAATGTTGCAAATTTTATATAATCTGATCCCATTTAAGCAGATAGAAATGGAAAAAGAAGAAAGAAAGAAAAGAATTGCTCGACGATTGCTGGGAGATGATCTATAATCGTCTTGATCATGCAAGCTATCAACAATCATTCACCTTAGTCTGCAAGAGATTCCTCAAAATCACTAATTCCCGGCGAGTTAGCATAAACTTCTCAAGTAATACACCAATCACAATCCTCTGTAGGCTGCTGGAAAGATTCTCCAATCTTAAGAAGATAAAGGTTTGTAACTTCAAAGGAGAAACTTATGAAGCTATTCTTGAAATTGCACGGTCTGGGTTGGACTTGGAAGAGTTGATTGCTTTGTCATATCGTCGAAGTTATCCAAAATTTTGGTTAGAGGAGCTGGGTTCAAACATGAAGAATCTGAAAGTACTCAAGTTTACTGGTGCAGAAGGAGATGCTGATTTTGTCAGAGTAGCAGACACGTTCCCACAACTCGAGGATCTTCATATCGAGGATGAAGCACCACATTTTATTTCTGTGACCGATGAAGGGATAGATTATATGTCATCCAAGCTCAAGAGATTACGCAAGATAGACCTTTCGCATAAATCACGAATTTCAGATAAGTCCCTTATTTCTCTGTCAAAAAACTGTCCATTACTAGAGCAAATTGAAATTCAAAATTGTAATTCTGTGACACAAGAAGGAATTTCATTCCTTGTTACCAATAGCCACCATTTGAACTTATTAGACATATGTAATTATCTTAAGATTGAAACATTTGGAGTCAAAGGCTCGACTAATTTCCTAACCAACTTACGATCTCTAAAGCTTCAACATGTAGACATATTGGATGAGTTCCTCTTTTCTATAATAGAAGCACGGATTCATCTTACCAACTTGGCTCTGATGAATTGCAAAAGCTACACTTTCACCGGGATCTCAAGGCTCCTACAACACTCTTCTCAATCTCTGAAATCTTTAGAGTTGGGGGGGTCCAGGGGAGTAAAATTCCTCACAAATGAGCATATAGATTACATGTCGTCTTTTCTCCAAAACCTGACATCAATCACTCTCTTTAATTGTTCCAAGCTATCTGATTCAGCTTTTGTTATGATCACACAAAGATGCCCTCGTCTGTGCCATTTTGTGATGACTGGTTCAAGCCTCGGAAAAGAAGAACACAATTATGATGGCCTAATGGAGGAGAACCGTGCAATAAAGTACTTGGACCTATCATCTCATCGTGAAGTTAGGCCTACTGCTCTGAAAAGGCTTCTTAACATATGTCCCGAAGTGGAGAAGCTCAAGCTACAAGATTGTTTTTTCCTACCTGATGATCAACTGAATGTTCCTGATATTCTAGAGTGCAACAGGAGCCTTGTGGAACTGAATTTAACCGGATCCCATCCTATCACTGTAAAAGACACGGAGTTGGAGTCGTCAGTGTTAGAGAAATTGATTGTAAAAATTTCAATGATAAATGATATATCTCTTAAGAAGTTGGGGAAGATAAGCCCCAGATTGATTCACCTGGATTTAACGCGTTGCAGTGAAGTGACTGCAGAAGGGGTAAAGGAAGTAGTGAAATCGTGTAAACGACTGATATACTTGAGCATAAGTTGCTGTGAAAATGTGGATATCAATGTGATACCATGGATAGTGACAAACAGACCATCCTTGAAAAAACTGCTGTCATCATCTCGTTGCTACCCAGACGACAAAACCCATAAACTCTTCCTGCAACGAGGCTGTCTTGTCCTCAAGGATCCAAGTTTCATCCCTAAAGGAGATAAGCTTTTGTGTTATTTGTAATAGTTTGAAATTGTGTTTGATTGTTATTGCAACTTACTATGTCCAAAATGAATGTTTAATTTTCACTTTCATGATCAAGATTTGTATGATGAGACTAATTCCATTTCTTTTATATCAAGATAATTTTTGTTGATTTTTTAGGTTAAAAATGTAGTTTTCTATAGATGTTTCAAAAAAAAAAGTTTTCTATAGATAATAACTATATTAAAAAGTTGAAATATACAGGCAGATATCCATCAAAATCTACTATTGTAAGTAAGAAAGCTCGAGTGTATTTAACCAAATGAGTCATCACAATATATTTATCAGATGAACCAATAGTGTATGCAGATCATCAATGAACTAGACTTTATAATGTCATTTGCACTCAGTTTTATTTAGTTATTATACTAGCTTAGTTACATAGTAAGTAAGACTGTACCAGGATTAATTAATGGTCTTCTTATCACTTTCATCAGAAGCCTTGACTAGAAAGACAGCTTTGCCAATTGCCATTAGCAATTTTATCGCCGGGAGAAACAGAATCATAGTCCATCAAGTATGCTTCAATCTCCATTTCCTTGGCGGCTTCACTTGTAACATAGCTAAAGAATTAAGAGTTAAGAGACATCAGGATTGGCTAGTACATAACCAAAGCACCCAAAAACTTATCTAAGAAAAGTACTTCTATTAAAAACCCTTATGCAATGTCCAATTCACCAAGCGTCAAGTAGAAAACACAATATAGAAAGTAAGGGAAATGGAAGGTAGAAATTTGCAGGTTTCAAACAACAAACAGGCAATCTATAGTGTAAATATTGGGCACCTAATGGACTATTTCTTAGATTTGTGGACCAACTTATAGCT